CGCTGCAGACCGGTCCGTGCCCACGCAGGCACGGGCAGGCCGAGCCTCAGCAAGCAAGCAGCTACACATTTTTGTTGCCTGGTGCCACGTTACCTTTAAAGACACACACCAAACCAGACAGACCCCTTCTCCCCTCGGCCAGGCGGTTCCCACTCGCGGCCACCTCCCTGCCCAGCGCTCCCAGCCCCGTGGAGCAGCAGCGTTGCACGGGATTTCCAACCAGGAATACAGAAGAACCACCCGCGGTCGCGCCCGTCCCTTATCTCAGGTGTGCCGCCCGAATCGCGGGGCTGCACAGCAGCTGGTGGGTTGCAGGAGCCGTTTCCTTCACACAAAAAGGACTCAAAGGTTTTTGCAGGTTGTTTTAGAGGAATCTCTATTCCCTGGCAAGTAACGCCAGCCACCCTCAGCACAGCGAAACCACAAAGAGATGAGTGAAGAAAATAACCCAGACCGTTAACCAAAAGGGGAACAACTCCTTCATCTTCCCAAAGTCTTGGCAGAAAGACCACGAGTCCGCACATCTGAAGTTTATCAACAACGTGATTCTGCGTAAGCATTAGGCTGCCCTCATTTCTGAATTTTCAAAATGCCAGACACCAAAAGTGTGTCACCAAGGCGCCGTAGAGAAGCAGGAGTTACCGAAACAGCCTCAGAAGTGTGTATTCTGATGATTCACCGGGGCTCCGGGCAGATTTCAGAGCAGCCGCCTCCCATTTCAAAAAGGCACCTCGTGCTGCCTCAGAGCACACAGCCCCCACAACAAACACCACAGAAACCGTCCCCAACTTATTTCAGGAGAGGGAAAGGAAAGAAAAAAGCCAGACTCGTGGGGTTTTTTTTCCTGATTTATTGCGGCTAAGTGTGACACTCATTTGTCAGAAGCAATTTGCTAATTCCAATGCTGTTTGGACATCGTGCAGCAAACTTCTTCCCTACAAACGAAGCTGGCCAACTGGGTTTGAACCCGTTTCTGAAAACAGTCGTTACTCCCTACCCGGCCACATTAACTCACACCTCAGCCCGCTGACCTCCAGTACTTTGCCGTCTCCTTATCTCCAAACTTATTTCTCTGTACACAGCTTTGGAATAAATTTTCTTCTCCAGGAGGAGAAATCTTGCTTACTGAAAAGTTACAGTAGAAATCAGATAGGTTACAAAGACCTTGGGGAGACCAAGAGCCACATGGACTTTCACTCTCCTGGAAGTGCAATATTTCTTAGAGCACATGTTCATGAGTTGAAAATTACCGGTTGAGTAGCTAAAAGGAATTTACGAAGGCCACCAAAAATCCTTTCGGAGAAGGATTGTATGTATGTTTTTATTCGTGTACTGCAACGGCATTGCCAGGCCCAGGACGTACGAATACCCACTCGGCAGCCCCTTGTCCCGTTACTGAGGGTAAAGCTCCACTACCATCGCATGCCCCTGGAAGGAGAGAGAAGGAGAACGGTCACAGAAAAGACTCACTGTTACAGACACGCACTCAACAGGAGATGCCTGTCTCCTGGCCGTCTTAAAATAAAAGGGGAGATGAAAATCCAGAGCCGATTCACTACGGGGACTCTGCAGAGAGTGGAGTGGTGGCTTCGGGACAGGACTGATGTGCTTCGGGCCAGCCAAGGCAGCAGAGTCCAGTTGGTCAGGCTGCCCTGAGGGCCAAACTGGGAATTCAGGGTGGAGGCAGCGTCGGGACCAGTGCCCTCAGGTTACGGCGGGCCAGCTGTGCTAGGTCCCCACAGATCTGCCACCAGTCACTGCAACCTGAAGCAGGGCTTGCATCCACAGCCTCAAGCACTGCAGGAAGAGTCTCACCCCCATTTTTCCTGTAAAGATCTTCCCAAGATTAGAAGAACGATGCTCACAAACCACAATTTGGGAAGTCTTTGAGAGTCGCCAAACAAAACCCTCAGAACACGGCAGAAATCTCTCCTTCCCTTTGGTACCATACAGGCCGCTGTCACCACTGCCCAGGGATGATTCCGAGATGGGCAGGGGAGTCTCTAAAGCGGAGAAGGCGGAGGGAGCTCACTGACCTGAGCTGCGGTAAGGAGCCTGTAACAATAGCCTCCTTATAATAAGGTAACAGAGAGCTGGGCAGAGAGGAACCTGATGAATTTCAACGACGGCAAGTGTAGGGTCCGGTGCCTTGGGAGGAATAACCCCATGCACCAGTACAGTCTGGGGGCTGACCTGCTGGAGAGCAGCCCAGCAGAGAAGGACCTGGGAGTCCTGAGGGACAAGAAGTTGCCCACAAGCCAGCAATGTGCCCTCATGGCCAAGAAGGCCAATGGTATCCTGGGGTGCATGAGGAAGAGTGTGGCCAGCAGGTCAAGGGAGGTTCTCCTCCCTCTCTACTCTGCCCTGGTGAGGCCACATCTGGAGTGCTGTGTCCAGTTCTGGGCTCCCCAGTTCAAGAAAGACAAGGAACGACTGGAGAGAGTCCAGCGGAGGGCAATGAAGACGATGAGGGGACTGGAGCATCTCCCTGATGAGGAAAGGCTGAGGGCACTGGGTCTGCTCAGCCTGGAGAAGAGAAGGCTGAGAGGGGACCTCATCAATGCTTACAAATCCCTTAAGGGCGGCTGTCAAGAGGACGGCGCCAGACTCTTTTCAGTGGAGCCAAGTGACAGGTTAAGGGGCAACGGGCACCAACCGAAACTCAGGAAGTTCCACCCGAACATGAGGAAGAACCTTTGTACTTTGAGGGTGGCAGAGCCCTGGCACAGGCTGCCCAGAGAGGCTGGGGGGGCTCCTTCTCTGGAGAGATTCAAAACACCACTTTTTTTTTGGAATTGCTGTAGGTGACCCTGCTGTGGCAGGGGGGTTGGACTGGGTGATCTCCAGAAGGCCCTGCCAACCCCCACGAGTCTGGGATTCTGAGGCAGCCAGCCGAGCCGGAGGGGGTTATGAACACCCCATGCCATGGGACTCCAGAGGTGCCCCCAGCCCTGGTGTAACTGGACAGGATTTCACGGTACCACCAGGCACAGAAACGTAATTACTGCCCCTCTCCAGAGGGAACAGTGCCAGACCGTACGGCCCCATTACCTGCCCTCCAGCAGCACAGGCAGCAACCAGGCCGTATTGTCCTCCCTCCTTCTTCAGTCTATGGGCAGCAGTAATTACTAGACGGCAGCCAGTGGCACCGAAAGGATGTCCCAGGGAGAGGGAGCCGCCCCAGTTATTGAACTTCTCCAGAGGAGGGGCTCCGACCTGCAAGAACACACAGAAGGGGACACAGAATCACCTGTCTGGGAGGAGACTGCTTGACCTACTCACGACACCAAACCTACAGTGGTCCAGGCTGGCCATACGAAGTGTTCCTTGGCACGCACAAGTGCTTGACAACAGCATAAAACCGTGCTAAAGGCTTTACTGCTTCACCTGCAGCCAAACAGGCATACCCCATGCTGTTAGAGAGCAAGCAGAAGGACTGAGCCCCTCCCACTGTTTTTAATTCCCTCCTCTCCAAAAATTACTATTATGGCTCCAGATCTCCACCTCCTGCCGACAACGGGAATGCTATCGTTCCCAGAGAAACTGCTCACACTGGGATGTGCTAGCCCAGGGTTCAAGAAACATTGCTTCTCCTCACAGAACATAACAAAAGCCCTGCTTTGCAGCACTAGCATGTCCTGCTGCTGTGAGGAATTCAATTAATCCTAAAGTTAAACTAAACTAAAGATAAAAGTGTCCTGACTGTGTCTTACCTTTGACTTTCTGCCCATGTAGTTTTGTGCAAACCACTCTGAATCCATAGCTTTCAGGTTAGCCAGTATCTGCCCCTGAAAGGGAGGGGAGGACAACGTTAACCAGGATAACAGCAGACTTTGAGGAAAGCCTACAGACAGCGCTAGCGATAGGAGATATCCTGCGCCTACCTGCAGCCACAAAACTAACACAGCCAACTGAAAAAAGCATTTTACAGGATTATCCCTGTTAATCAATGTTAGCTCAATCTTAGCCAGAAAAAGACGCTGTCCAACTAACAAGCCGCTCTCCATAGTAACACATATCCCCAACTCAGTTAGTATGTGATGTGCAGAAGTGGTTTCTTTCATACAAAGGTCTTGGGAAAGTAAGATTATTTTTTTTTATGTATTATTTTAGAAGAATCTGTATTCCTTTGGTGACTTCAAGCAACATAAGCCACTCTTAGCATGGATTGTGTCCATATAAAAATGTTATATATTTAAAATATATACAGTACTTGTATTTAGACATAAATGTAGAATTACACCTATCTACATTTAACGAAGGTCTTAACAAGAGTTTTCACCAACACGAAAACGAATGTCTGCAGAATGGCATTTTACAGTTAGAGGCATCCTTAGCGTTCAGAGTACTTACAGCAAAAGCTTCGTGGAATTCAAACACATCGATATCAGCCATGGTTAGACCAGCCTTCTCTAGCACTTTGGGAGTAGCGTATGTTGGACTGTAGAAGAGTTAAGAAACAAAAGTCTTGCATGAATATGTTTCCTTACATCATCGTCCCCTTTTCCCACAGCAACCCACGTTACATTCCTTCTCTCTAGGGTTCACAGTACAACTCCCTGCCTGTCCCACTGCTACTGCAACACAACCCCAAGTTACTACTGCTAGTACCAACACGCTGAGATGCCCCCCAGCAAACCAGGGTGGGTATTTCTGCCACAGCTGCTCTCCCACATTAGCCACCTCCTCGTCCTGACTCACACCTAACACACCATCTCCCACACCTTTGCGAGAAGGCCTGAAGAGATGTAATATCTCATGAGATACTTCACAAAAAACAAACATGTAACGGCAAGTCATGGCTGTTGTGCTAGTACGGACTGTTAGGGGATGCTCTTGATCATCACCACCTACCCCAGTAGCAGCTGGTCCTTTGGATCTTGGGACACATACACAAAGTCCCTGCACAGGAGAAATGTCATTAGTAACTGAAACAGGAGAAGGAGGAAGCGAGAGCAGACTTCAGAGGCCACGTACAGCAGCCCCTTTTTACCTTAGGTAGGCCTTTGGCTTGTATCCCATTGCCAGAGCCTTCTCCTCAGACATGAGCAGAATTGCCGAAGCACCATCTGTCTGAAACAGGCAGACAAAAGTGAGGTCATCACCTGAAGAACAAGCACACCCTGCGTGCAAAACAAGCCTGACAGCTCTGCTGCAGAGCAGCTGGCAAGAGAGGACCCAAATATAACCAGAGCTTCCAGGTCATCCCCCTGTGATACCGGCCAAAGAACAAGTCCGCATGATTGAGCTGATGGCTAGGTGGCTGGATGATCTCGGAATGATGTCAGCACACACGGTGCTGAAGCACTTCCTTCCAGTCCAGACCCACCACTCCCCCGGTATCAAACAGGACAGAGTTGCCTAAAAGCCCTGCCAGTCCTGAGGACAAGATCGTTACCCCAAACACTCACCTGTCCACTCAGTTCCATCCCAAAACCAGAGCGTAATTCTGGGATGACCCAAGTCACAAGCTCACCACATGGCAAAAATGAACATTATGGCTTTGGCACATGACCACTCATTTCTGGGGTAGCAGCCTAAGCTGGCTGACAGACCTGCGGCATAGAGCACACCAACAGCATTTCAGCTGCTCCTAACACCAAGGCGATGGCACTACCAGGCTTTTGTAAGTCCCCAAGAACACTAAGGAGTAAATAGCATTGCTGCTGAAAGAGCCCCAGCAGTAGTTACTCACTTCCTTTGAAATGCTCATCACATACTGTGAAAGAGCCTTTTAAACACACAAGAATCTGTCAGGGCTGCGTGCAGGAACAAGACAGTCACCATGAGCCCTCTGCGGGAGACTTTCCGTAGTGCTCACCTTCTACTGAGTCTCAGGAACTGGGGCTCAGACACACCTCACCTAATTTACACAACTATCTTAGTCTTCAGCATCTAAAAAAGCTTCCTTCAAAAGCGCTAAAAAGAGAAAAAGGAGCATATGCAGAAGAGAGGTTGTCATAGATGTGCTAGAGAAATCTCCCCTTCCCCTCTGTGGATTACAGAGCAAGCCTTAAAGACTTAAAGATGTGGCACTTAGGGACATGGTTTAGTGGTGGACTTGGCAGTGCCAGATTAACGGTTGGACTCGATGATCTTAAAGATCTTTTCCAACCTAAACGATTCTACGATTCTGTAAGTTTAGACTAAAACTACTAACTTCTAGACTTACAATGTGATCAATCCCATCCTGGGACAGAATTTCTACATGTGCCTTTGAATGATCAACCCTCACAAGGCAGCTACAGAAAAGCAAAAATGTAAGACAGACCAAAACTTCAGGAGTTTAGTTACTGATTTTAAAACTAAACAATCCAGTACCCAAGTTCCCCCAATTATAATACAGTTCAAAGTTACCCTCGAAAAATCTGAAAGCAGGTGATATTACAAAGGAGACAACTCATTCCCACAGATTATACCAGCTTGATCTACATGCCTATGGAAGTTTTCCCCTCCAGCTCACAGTGATGGGAACAGGCATTACCAGGAAGGAGGAGTTGGCAGCTGTGACAGTTCCGTAGGGCTTGACAAAAGCTGGCTTCAGCTTGCCCATCTGCTCCATTGAGGAAGGACGGATCCCGTTATCTTTGGTAACTGTATCTTTGCCTGTTGATGAAAAAAGCATATTTAAACTACAAAAGTCAGCAACATACATGAATTTGCACACCAGGAGTCCAGGCGGCGGGTCAGAAATCAGAAAACTGTGCTTTTTATGACAAGAGGGAGGAGGAAAAAAGGGAAAATCCATTCATGGTATCAGAACATTTAACATGGCTAAAAAATAGCACTTAAATTGAGGCTACATTACTTTCTCTCTGACGACTGCAAAAATGAAGCACTGCAATCTATTTACTGTGAGAAAAAATTACCACACGGAAAACCCAGTTGATAAAAGAATTTAAACTCAGATTATAAAGCCTAAATTGGAGAACTGAGCCTAAATCAGTATACATTTATGTGCCAAGTTTTGAGGAAGTAAGAGCACTGGGAAGAACCAAATATATGCATCTTCAACTATACCGAACGCTTAAACAAGTCAGTTAACAAAAAGTACCGATTTTAGTACAAAGACCGTATGTAACCATGGATCTACTCTAGGAAACTAGCTACAGAGTAAAAGCGCTCCAAACGAACAGGTATTACACCAAAGCGCACCCACTGGCTGATGGCGGATGAGGGTAGGAATCCGGCCACAGAAAGGACAGCTTAAAGTTTCTCCCCAAACTGTTTCATATCTGAGCAATCCCTGTGGGGCCTGGTGAACTGGAGACTACCAAGCCAAACACATTTCAGCTCTTCCTATCCAGCACCTGATTTATCAGATCAGGATTTTATTAGGCTTTCTATTTGTTGTTAATGGCTTGGGGTATAAAGATGGGTTCTCTTGCCTGACTGAAAGAGCAGGAGGATTCTTGGTCCAACCATCCTGATTTTCCTTGCTCTATCACCACATTAGTACAGACACGAGGTGGGTACGACAAAATGTAGATATGTAAGGATACTTTTATATGTTTATATATGCATGTTCAGAAACATGCTCCTATGTCAGTAGTTTTCCAGAGAGAAACAGATGGCACTTCAAAGAGGTAAACTCCATATCAGATACACACAACATTATGAATCTGACCCCAGTACTTCCCCTCCTTTGCTAAATAAAGCATTTCTTTACTGAACTACCGCACGCTAGCAATGAAACACGTGCACTTTTACCTGGCACTTTGAAGGGTACCACATCCAGTAGCAGGCCTCCATCCTGGGCTTTCTTAGCTAGTGTGTGTGAACGGAGGGCGTACTCATCTTGCTCCAAACGGGAAACGGCAAAGGCAGCAGCCAAACGATCGGCAGAATGCCCCATAGTCTCGCTGGTGGAGAACTCTGCCACAGCTGGGAGCTACAAAACAGAAAAATAAAGTCAGCACACATAAACAGCTGTCCCTGGGCAGTTACATAAAGTTCAGAAGTTGGTTAAGCCTTGCACAGCCAGTCAGCGAGGCCCTTCTGTTTATTAAGCAGAGCAGTTAGAGCTAGGCAATTAACACACAGTAACCATACCAGAAGTGATTTGGTCAAATGTATCAGAGGAACCATCACTTTCAAAGATTTTAGGGGAAAAAAGGATAAAAATGAGGTCCAGACTGCAGTTTACTCCAGGAATTCAAGAACTGTATTGGATTTGCACATGCAGACAAAGAGCAGCTGCCTTGTGCATTTAACAAGGAATCCCCTATGAAGGGTGACTGGACTTTTGGGGCCAAGGTGAAACAACACATCCTGGGACCTTAAAAGTCCTTGTCAAATACCTCCTCAAGCAAAACCAGAGACAGCAGCTGATTTCAGCTTAGTTTTCAATCTTCCAGCAGCACGCAGGAAATCCCTGCGTGCATTTAAGTCTGCAATTTTCCTACCTTATTTGGACTTTGGGTCTCACCTCTGCTGTACGCACACTGGGCTTCGTCGCGCTCATACTAAAGGCAGTCAGCAGCGGCACAGACACACACAGTTTTCTTGTGAAGAGCTCGGTGGTGGTGAGGAAGGAAGTGCTTTCCTTCCCAGCCCCACCATGTCCTAATTCACCTCTCTCATGAAGTCCAAGAGAGAGAAGAGTGGCCCCCCATACAGCAGACTCCTGACATTAACCAGTGCCCATTCTCATCAGGGTTCAAACAGGGGAGCTGAACAAATTCAGCACCTGGCAGGATTTGGCCAGGAACAGTAACCATAAGGCATATTTAGGTCGCGTTAATCAAAAATCATACTATTATACTGAAGATATTCCTCTCTGATATTAAGCATGTTACTTCTGTTATCTAGGAAACCAAAATTCTTCTGATCCTTTAGGAGTCTTGCATAAGTTTTATATTTATGGGAAAAAGCTTTGACTTTTGTAGTCTCCAGCACAGTTTGTCTAGGAGTTGCAGAAGGAGAGGAAAGTTTTGAAATAAGTGAAGTTTACTGAAGACCAACACGTAAGAAGACAAAGCAGAGTCACAAATGCTACGAGATGCATTAAATAACTGCAGTTTTAACCTAAAGCACAGGACAAAGATCTGATAAAGGTGAGCCACAGGCAGCCACCTTAGCCTTTGTAAATCCTCTCCATTGAGGCTAAAAAATACTACCTAAGCTAACTGGTTTTACACTCCTTGTAAAACAGTTTAGCTAAGTATCTAAATGCCTGAAAAAAAATTACCTCAGGAGCAAAGTAGTCAGGGCGAATTTTGGAAATCAGGGCAAGCTTTTGGCCTAAAGTCTTGGCTCGGTTAAGAGTCAGCATAGTCTTCCTCATCTTCCTACTGTGACGAATGGGAACATCTGACATTAACTCCACACCCCCTGCTACGACGACGTCGCACTGTCCAGCCGTGATCATACCCACGCCTGCAGAACAAGACAAAGTTTCCCATGAGAGCTGCAGGCAGAAGTGACACTTACCCGATTCGTGCCTTGGATACTACTACATTTTATTTCCTTTTCCAGCCCCTGGCTTTGGCCAAGTTATACAACACGTGCTTAACAGCGGCTGAGCGGGCTGAACAGACATTTTCTGAATCATACTAGTTTTGTAACTTTGCTTCCACTTCTGCCACACACAGCAGCTGGGAGAAGAACACCCCCAGCAATTTGAGACAGTAACTGTGTCTCTATTCTTTTGCTCTGTTTAGGCTAAGTCAGAGATGAAAGTAGCCTGAAAGGCAGCAACTTCCTTATCATGATGGAGTCTTTACCTCCCAAGCTAACATGGACACTGAGCGGAGACCATTGCTGAATGCAGAGGGTATCAAGCTGCTGGCAGGTCTACAGCAGACACTCAATTCATACTGTATTTTGTTGGCTCAAAACCTTTCCTTCCATTCCAGAATTTCTTCAGATGCTTACTTATATTCACTAAGCAGTGCAAGTTAGACTAGGGATGCAGAGAAGTTGCTAAGCTCGTTCTCAAATCCACAGCTTGTTCTTCTAGTCAACATACCTGTGGTCATAGCCTGGTTTGAAGAAATGCAAGCCATGGTGACTGTATGGGCTGGAGTTTTGTCAGAGAAACCCGCTCCCAAGGCAGCCTAGGAGCAACAAGAATGGCTGTTAAAACCTACACCTTTTGCTCCACAGGGTCAGAGCTACCTTCTGCCCAGCAACACACTCTTCCAGACACAGCTGAAAATAAGAACATCAACAAGTTTTCAGTCAGCTAATTACTGCAGCAGCTCATCCCCTCCCCAGCCTCTGGGAACAGGAGGAGAGGGCAGCTGCCAAGGCTCTCAATCGCATTATGCGGACAGCCACTGGCCCCCCCATTAATGAAGGGAAAACTAATCACACACCTCACAATTTCAAAAGAGCTTCCAGCTACTTGACGTCATCTCTGCTTCACCTTATTTGCAAAAGCAACATGTGAAAAGAATTATTTAAACCCTTCTGCACAAGGCATCGTGACTTGCCTTAGACAGAACACAAAACATTTCCTGCAGTTCAGAATGCTGCGTCTCATTTGACCCAGCTGAGAGCACGGCCTCCCATCACGGGAGAAATGCTCACAGCAAGACCTTCCCTAGTTGAGATGTGGCCAAGTAGTTTAAAGTTCAACAGTTGTTCCCAAGTTAAAATTACACCACAGCCTCATCTGACTGGCAGGTGACCAAAGCAAGTATTTGCATATACAAGGCTAAAACTGCCGACAGAACTGGCGAGCCTCATAACCTCCTAAGTCTTTCCAGCCCAGGTTACATCATGGGTTTGCCTAGCTGCAGAGAACAACAGCAGAGGCTCCAGGTTATAGAAAATCACATCGCTTCTGTAACATTACTTCAGTGGACCAGCTTCTTTCTGTGTACAATACACGAATTGTGTTTTCTGACTGCCAGAAAAAAGGGCAGCTAAGCTACTCCATTTCAAATCATTCAAAAGCTGCATCTGATCAGCCAACCAAAAAAAATAAATACCACAGTAAAGCAATCTATCACAGCATGCTCTGGTCCTCTCAAGTGCTTTGGACAAGCCAGCATTTGAGTCCAACTGGTAGTTAAGAGCTGAGTGATCAGCAACCATTAACAAAAGCTTCCTTTTCAGGGAAAAACCAAGCAGAGGCTTCACAGCATTAAAATGCACTGGATCTACGGCAGATTTCAACAGGAGGCAGAGTCCCATACAGTTACTTGACAGACAACACTGCACAACTAGTTCATACTCTCAAATCACATTTAAATAAACCATAATACTGGAATATTTTTTTTTTCTTTGCAAGTGTTTGTCATCTTCATACTAGTTGCAGAAATCAGACTCCCAGGGGAAACGCTGCACATCACCCACCTCTCTGGCAACGTTACTCGTTTTCACCTCCTGGATAACTGTGCCATAAACAATGTGATCAACAACATCCCTTGGTTTCAGCAACCCCCTAAGGAGAAGATCAAAACAAACAGAATTTGCACCCTGTAAGCAATAACCTGGTCACAGTCCTCAAACATCCTCTTTCCCCCAGCTTGGCTGCAGAACAAGGCAACAACAGAGCCACATCTTCTACCCCTAGTTCAGAAGAAATCTTGTGTGCATAGGTACCTAATTAAAAGTGTAATTGACTACAGACTGCAAATAATCATGGCAATAATATCACTATAAATGATTACATAATTTCATCAAAGCAACCACTCTACACACCACACACTCCTCAAAATGGTTGTTAGTATCTTCCCCATTTGGAGTGCTCTGACATCAAAATTAAAGGAAGAGGGCCTTAAGAGATAACAAAACCAATCACCTTCATTGTAGGAACATGTAAAACTTCAATAAAGACATACAGAAAATAAGCAGTGTGTTTTCACAGTTCATTAGAAAACATATTGCATAATTTGCCAGAACGTCTTGACAAACATGCTGCCACAGCAAATCCCACTGCAGGCATTGATTTAAGGCCACTGGGATTCAAATGTAGTTTCATCAAAGCACCAAATAAAAATGAAACTAAAGGCACCTCAATCAATAACTTCTCTTCCACAGCACACTAAAACCCCCTCAATGTCCAGGACACAGCCCTCATGCACAACTAACACACTGCCTGTTAACCAAATCAGCCTGCCTTGGCTAAACATGGCATTTAAATTTGGCAGGACTGCACCTAACCTCAGGATCTTCCTTTGGGCCTTGAAATCTCCTTTTGCCCCCTGGTAACGCCTTCTCTCTTTTTCAACAGCATTTTGCCCTGCTTCTCAACAAAACAAACCCACTGCTAACGACCTACAGCTTTTGTCGAATCACTGCAGAGTGGAAGGGACAGGCAAGATGACAGAATTGGCTGGTTATTCTTGTTGCCACTTAAGTTTTCTCTGCATTGCCCAGATTGTTTTTCCCATGAACTGGAAGCACACCTCAACAGTACCTATGATGTCTGTACTTAGAAAACTATGGTCAGAATTCCAATTAACTAAAATTTGTCAAGCCAGATAACAATGCCATCTCTTTGTAACAATACACTTTAACACAAGCCAATTGTAAACCCTACTGCTTAAGCCACCTGCTAAGGTGGTGGTGGACCATGACAAATGCAGCTCCTGGATCACATCATTCAGAGACAAGGCCAGAGCCTTGGCTTTCAAATCTGTTGAAGCCACCGTACCAACAGTGGGACCCCCAGCAGTTCAATGAGTTTTCTGGGTCCTAGTATTCAATTTACTTACTGCAGTGCTGCTCTTGCTAAGTCATGTGGCATAAGATCCGCATACCTGGAAGTTAAAGAAGAGAGGCAGAAACTTAGAGGCACCAGGAACAGATGTCTGCTTCACCACTGTAAGCGCACATCAGCAGCAAAAAATGGGTGACATACCAGAAATGCCCCACTGCATTTATAATCAAACATTTTGTACCCCAGGTTGTGAAGGCTATCTGTGTATAGGTCAGCACACAATCACTGCACACTAAAAACACTGAAAAGCAGCAGTAACAGAATAAAGAAATCCCCTATTCATCCTAACCAGGAGTTAGGTCTGGTCCTAATTCAGCTGTAAATTTGGTGGTGTAACAGTCTAGCAAGAAGAGTCTACAGCAGATTCTCTGCGCCTGTCCTGCTAGTTTTGTGAAACTTGTTGCTTTATCTGCTATAGATCCACCAACAGCTCCCTCTAGACGTGCAGCATAAATCCTCATTCTTCTCAGAATTCGTACACATGGACAATGTTCTTCAAACCACGATTTTTCATTAGGTAAGCTGGAATAAGCGAAGCAGCCTAGCTCGTTGCCACTTCAGTACTTTTAGGCATAAGAATAACTACATTAAAATGAACAAGTAAGCCAACTTTTTTTCACAGAAAGATTCTACTATTAACCAAGTCGGCAGGTATTTTCTTCTAATTTTATACTTACGAGGTGCCAGACTGCAAAAATGGAATACGGACGCCCTCTACCACAACAACATTCTTCACACCACTTTTGGCTAAGGTCTTCTTACTCTTAGGCTGGACTGCTAAGGGAGAAGTGATGTTAACAAGAATACCACCAGCACGCTTAAAGTAAGACCCTGTAAAAACTAATAGAAAACTAGGGAAATTGTCCTCTTTTGGTGCAGAAGTCAAAAGCAGAGTAGGTAGGACACCTGAGCGGTAATCTTGTCTCTGTCTGGCTAATTATGTGATCTGTGAAAAATGATTTAACAACTTGGTATGTCCCCCATCAGCAGAGAGATTCATCTATAGCTACACTGAGGCAATAGTACAGCTAAGAACAAAGGCACATAACTCCCAGTCTCTGTTACCACTGACAAGAAAACTACAGGAGGAGATGTCTCTAAAAATGCTGTGCAGCTTACAATATGAATGAGGCAGACCAAATTCAAAGCCTGGGTAAGATCTCTCACTTGGTGAGCCATAAGGACTGCAAATAGCAATCCACCTTCCACAGTAACTGCCTATATGTTTGCTCTTACTGCAGAGTCAAGGTCAGATAATTCAAGGTAAATTAAAACACAGCTTGAGAAGTCAACTAACTTTCACTCCCAGAGGAAAGCAGTAGCAAGAGTGCATATAGTTGCTGTGGGTAACTTGCCACTTCTCTGTAAGGTGTCCAAGCATCTCAGATTCAAGACAAAGCGTGTCACGATACAGTATTGTTCAACAGGTCACTGTCAGAGCTCTTCTGGAGTGACAATTAACAAAGAGTTCAATGACAATTTGCTAACGCAATCAGGCCTGCAAATCTAAATGCTGCAGCATGGGGCAGCTCCTTTTACCAGGAGGAAAAGGACAAGGACACGGAAAAGCAGATTAAGCCCAACTTAACACTGTGCTCAAGCAAGTGCGAGCACCAGGATAAAACTCCAGCATCGTTCTTGGGTTATAAGGGACTCTGCGCAAAGCCAAGGAGACGAGGGGGAGCTGCTGTCTAGGCCCTCTTCCAAAATCCAGGGAGCTCAAAGCATTAGTCACCTGAGCAACCTCCCTACAATGAATCCTGGAATGTCAGATCACCCCGACTGCTCACTAAGGGCCACAGCTAAAAACCCAACATCACTGTGCGTGCTTAGTGGCTCCACTGAGACCTGAGCCTCTTACTGGTCTCACTGGACTTTAGAGCTAATTCCACAGCTCCTCCTTGTCAGGGACAATCCACTCCCCTCTGGACAAGCGATCTGGTTATGCCCAGTTTACAAAGCCCGAGCTTAGCCTCTTTGTTTAGGTTCTAGAAATAGCAGTCAATCAGGTGATGGTGGGGCACAAGCTCTGGACCGGGCATAGCTGCTGGGAGCGAGGGGCATTCAGAGGTTGAGAGGACTCTGCTGCAAACAGTGGTTTGCCTGCAGTTTTACTCGTTTGCAGCTTTTGAGGAGCACTCGAATTTAGGCAGTCTGCACTACATTTCTGAGATTCAAGTAGAATGAGACTCTGGAAAAGGGATGCAGCTTCAAAAATAGCCTTCTCCAGCACAGACCCACTGAGATTCCTGGTGTTTCCACTTTACCTGCTGCTTGTAACTGTGAAGAGCAGCTGAGTGATCGAGCAACTGAAAAACAAGAGACAAAAAATAGGGTCTGTCAAATCTGAAATGCTAAAAACATTTCTAGTTTCTGTAAGAACTGTTAAAAAAATGAGATAATGTAATAGTAAGGCAACTGCACCCTAATATCTGTGAGATATTAGTTCATAAAAATGACACAGTTCCTATTACCTATTAACATGAGACTCCTCCCACATCTGATGTGGGAAGGGACAAATATGGCAACAATGGAATTAGTTATTTTCTAAAAAAAAATTGTCATCTTTTTTAAGATGACAACAGAACAGAGATTCAGATACAAGCATCCATTCCAAACCCAACACTTAAACCAGAACTTTATGACCTACCAGTTCAAGCTTTTAATTAAAGATACTCACAGACCCTGGCAGCCCATGCTGAGGAAGCAGGGAGGTTTCTGATGGCATGGGTCAGCATGGAACTCATTTTGATATCTAGAGTGCTGCAGAAAGACTGATATTAGTCCAATCTGGTCTATTCAGAACAATTTCAAGGTAAGCGATCTGCCTGCTTCACACAGAGCCAAAAAAAGCAACAAAAGAGAAGACACTCCAAGGGCAGCCGCAGCACAGAGAATTACTTCCTATTACACTTTTTGAACAGCGTCTAACACACAAGGAGTCTGGCTATGACCATGGCCTGCAAATGTTCCTGTAAATAAATACTCACCTCCCCAGTGACCTAGCACTGTACTAACAAGCAGAAAGCACAGTTTTCGATTCCCCTCCCAGTAACCGTTCTACCACTTCCCCACTGGAAAATTGTCCCAGTGCCCAGCCGATCTCACTGCCAGTGTGACTCTCCTGACGCACTCTCCTTGGAATGATTTGACGCCACTACCCCTCGTTTTAACTGTTGATGCTAACCACAGTAACTTCTGCTGCGTATCCCCATGGGAAGCAGAACAAGTTGGTATCCACTACCTCAAAAACTTCCTCTGTAGCTTTCCCAAAGCTCATT